ATATTAATATATCTTTGTTGGTGCATTGGGAAAACATTCCCTAAACCATGCTTTCCTCTAAACTCCACAACAATCAACACAGAAGAGGACTTCTGTATCCAAATGTGGGGTTTTCCGCACACACTAAGCAGCAGATGCCAGCTGGGCATCCTCTAATTCAATTCCAATGCTTCTACCCAGAGATAGCATCAGGTCCCACAGGGTGAGGGACCAGTCCCCAGGAGTGACCCCTCCTTCCCACCAGTCACAAGCCTGGGCCTCTAGAACTTCTGACCAACTGTCTTCAAAGTGGGGTTCCCACAACCCCTTCTTTGGGTTCAATTAATTTGCTAGAGAGGCTCACAGAACTCAGGGAAACATTTACTTATGTTTTATGGTTTATTACAAAGAATTATTTTAAAGAATACAAATAAACAGCCCAATGAAGAGATTCACAGGGCGAGGTCTGGAAGGGTCCCAAGTGCCGGAGCTTCTGTTTCCTGTGGAGCTGGGGTGCACCCCCCCTCCCGGCATGTGGATGAGTCTTGTTCACTTTCCTGCCTGCCTCCATGTGTGCAGCTCTCTGGAAGCTCTCTGAATTTAGTCCTCTTGGGTTTACATGGAGGCTTCATGACACAGACATAATTGACAACTGTGTAGAAATGTGACTGGATAAAAAGTGCATGATCTAAACCCAGCAAGGCCTGTCTGTTCAGATCCTTCCTGGCCTCCCTGCATAGCATTCCTTCCTCCAGACCCTCTCTGGAATGAGGGTCTTTTGGCCCACAATCAGATTGTAGTCCTGTCTTGGGCAGGTGAAAGGAAGACAGGAGAAGGTCAGAGAGAGAGATTCTATCTCCTGAGGCCTGCATCACCCCAACATTATAACGAGGACTGTGGGAGTTATCAGCTAGGACCCATGAACGAAAACCCATGTATGTATCATAACACCACAGCTGGGTTTTCGAATTAGGATTTCTTTGGCCTTGTAAAATGAGTTAGGAAGTATTTCCTACTCTAGTCTCTGTAGGTATGTGTAAGAATCATATTGTTTTTCCCTTAAATATTTGATAAAATTTACCACTGAAGATATCCAAGCTTACTATTTTCTTATGGGGAGGGTTTTTAAAAAAAATTTCAAAATATTAAGGGGGTACAAATGTTTTTGTTGCATGGACACCTTTTATAATGCTTAAGTTGGGGCTTTAGTTTGCCCAGTGTGCCCCAATAGTGTTCATTGTCCCTGATAGGTTAAGTTTTTACCAAAGCTCCACCCTCCCTTCTTGATTTCCAGTCACCTTTACATCTCGTTATAATCGATGGGCACACATAAAGGTTTTCATAATATTTTATTATCTTTCTAAAGGCTCTAAGACTCATAATGATGTCCCTTTCTTTCCTGTTTGTTCATTTGTTTTTTCTCTTTTTTTCTTGATCAGCTTTATTAGAGGTTAATTAGTTTTATTAAGCTTTTCAAAGAACCAACTTTTGGCTTCATTGATTTTCTCAATTGTTTTGAAGTATTTTCTTTATCCTTCAGCATTATACAATTTACCCATGTAACACAAACATTTATGCCCTCTTAATATTTTGAAATTAAAAAAAA